ATATATATATATGAGTAAAGATCTTATGATCCGTTTTTTTTTATTCCTCAGCAATAAACCAGATTTTTTGACTGCATTTACAGGATGTTATAAAGGCATGACTCCACCTACTATTCTGCTTACAGCGTTTCATGTGTCTGTACCTCAATGTAGGATTGAAGTTGGGGATAAACCCTGTAAGGACTCAGCACGTGGGACAGATGGGTGGTGCAAGGGAAGCTGGTGGTCACAGCATGGCTCACTTCTGGGAGAGAAAACACCTGGAAGCCAAACTTCTCATAGAGCTTCAGCAGATCTTCGTCCAGCTTCTCTTCACCCTCACACAGGACGCTGCCCACCGCATAACGACATTTCCCTGGTGGTCTCTGTGTAGACAGGGAAAGACAGAATGACCATATTTTAGAAAATTACAAGAATAGTGTTGGTGTCTCTGAACTGATCTAACTCATTACTGAAACATAAATGTCTACAATAATGTCAGTACAGCCAAATTTCTATTTAACAAAACAATATTCCTACGTTTTTATTTTTTTAGTATGAAAGCCATTTTATTCAATTCTAATGACTTGCAACCGAAAACTATGATAATACCCCAAGTTAAACTTAGCTCCCTCAACAGGTGAGCTCAGAAAGTCTTTAAACACTCCTAAAAGTCAAAGATTTAAGTATAAAAAAAATGTTCACACATACAGTAACTGCACAACGCTACAGTTAACTGAACCACAAAGAGCAAAGCTATTTGTCTGCTTGACGCTGGCCTGGGGAAAAAAAATTACAGCCAGACAGTAAATGTCAATCACTCCAGAAGAACTGTGGCAGCGTTCCAACCCTGCTGAGACCACTGCAGACAGATCCCAGCCAGGTCAGCTATGTGTTTTTAACAACGATTGGGATTAACAAACGGACCCTAGATTCCTTCTGAACAGATTTTGGCCAACATCACAAACTGCTGCTACAGAGGTGGGAAAGTAGAGCAGCTCTACAGCTGAACCAACAGGGAGGAAGAGTTTGGAGGAAACATTCATTATTCAGTGTTGTTTGTTCTGCAAACTTTGATATTTTTTAAACACAAACAGTGTTAAATAACTAAGAAAGTGCTTTGTAATGAAACATTATTACTGAAACTGAAGTTTTTATCCTTACATTTAAACAATGAGTAAAACAATGTTTCGACATCGTTATTGCCATGAAAAACAGGTGATTGGGTCTACGTGTGTATTATTGTATTTGTCACCTTTTTAAGACCATTTCTGGTATACACCTACCTTGTTAAGACCAGTAGTCCCTATGAGGACCAAAGACTGGTCCTAATATGGTGGAATTCCATTTTTGAGTTGGGGGTTTAGAACTAAGGTGTCAATTGAGTTTAGGTTAGGTTTAGGGTAAGCGTTCAAAGTTAGACTATAGAAGCGACTGGAAATGAGCGGAAATAAATGTACGGTCCTAATAAGAAAAGAAATACAAATGTGTGTGCGTGCGTGCGTGTGTGTGTTGTTTGATAGCAAACATCTTGTAAAAATTTTAATGAACCTTTTAGAAACAAATCACTGGCTGTGCATCTACATCAACAACAGATAAAATTTGAGTGAGAAAGGTGAAGCACCCACAACTGCCCCACATCTGCTTCCCCCAAGAAAGCAGCCCACTTCTCCATCTCTACACATGTAGATGGTAGTTAGGTGGTCGCATCAGGTAGGGGATTAGGTGTGTGTGTATTTATATACACAAACAGTATATACACAAATACATACATTCACATGTACGGTTACATAGAACTTCACCACAGGAAGCCACCATCCAACCATCCATTATCTTCTGCTTTATACAAAGTCGGGTCAGGGGGGCAGCAGCTTGAGCAGGGAAGCCCAGACCTCTCTTTCCCCAGCCACCTCTTCCTGCTCTTCTGGGAGGACTCCAAGGCRTTCTCAGGCCAACCGAGAGAGACTCTCCAGAGTGTCCTGGGTCTTTCTCAGGGTCTCCTCCCAGTTGGACATGCCTGAAGCACCTCTTTAGGAGGCATCCTTACCAGATGTCCAAACCATCTCAACTGGCTCCTCTGTGTGGAGGAGCAGCAGCTCTACTCTGAGTCTCTCCCCGATAATTGAACTTACCCCACCTCTAAGGGAGAGTCCAGCTATCCTGCGGAGAAAACTCATTTTGACCCCTTGTATTTGCAATCTTATTCTTTCGGTCAAAGTTTGTGACCAAAGGTGAGGGTGTGAATGTAGACTGATCAGTAAACATAGAGCTTTGCCTAACAGCTCAGCTCCCTCTTTCCCACAACAGACCAGTACAGAGTCTACAAAACTGTGGAAGCTACACCAATCCGTCGATCAATCTCACGCTCCATTCTTCCCTCACTCGTGAACAAGACCCCAAGAAACTTGAACTCCTCCACTTGAGGCAGAACTTTACCCTCAACCCAGAGACAGCAATCCGCCCTTTTCTGACYGAGGACCATGGAGTCAGATTTGGAGGTGCTGATCCTCATCCCTGCCACTCCACTCAGCTGTGACCCCCTCCACAGTGAGAGCTGAAGATCCTGGTGCGATGACCCCAACAGAAACACATACTCTGCAAACAGCAGAGATGGAATCTTGAGTCCACCAAACCAGACTCCCTCCACCCCCTGGCTGCACCGAGAAATTCTGTCAGTGTAAGTTATGAACAGAATCGGTGACAGCTGGCAGCCCATGAAGCCACCAATAAAAAAAATTTGAAAAAGGATTCCTTAACACATTTTACCTTTAGGATTAGGTGATATTCAAAAATAATATATAAAATCAAATTAAGAGGTTATAGTCTCTGTGCAAATTTATTACTGTGCCACAAAAGTGCACACACGGATGTAAAAATAGGAGCCATTTGATTTAAACATGTGTAGACGTTGCACCTTTACAGGCTCAAGTGTCAGTGGGCAGAAGGCTGCCAGCTCCGGTGAACATCTTTCTGCAGATACCCGACAGCCAGGTCACATATGTGGCAGTTCAAATCATGTCTGGGATGAACATCAAGGTCGACCAAGTGCTAAAAATCATCTACTAAATATGCAACTGACTGAATTAAAGATATCTACTTCAGATTTGATTAGATACATTTACAGAATATGTTATAAAAATTATAAAGTAAATAACCAATTTGCAAAATTTGAACCTATCTGATCAGCAGGGGTTTATTTGTCTTCCCCTAATAACACTAGAGAACAGACACAAGCTGACATTAAGGTTTGATCTCATTTACTTAAAAACAATTCTAACAAGTTCGCTTCTCTTAATGTGCCCACACGTCTGCATGCAGATTTGTTGAGAGACAGAAAACAGCCACTGAGCTGGTTGTCAGTCAGAAAAAGATCTGATGGAGAATCTCCCACTTTTGTCTGCTGCCTTGCAGACACTTTTTGTCTACCAGCCACAGATGGAGAGTGGGAGCTGTTGTTAAGGGATCACTTTTTTTCTCGTTAGGCTTTAGGTTACCGCCTACCACTTTCTAGACTTTGCTAAATCACCTCAGAAATCAGTGAATATGTGTTTTCTAACTTTCAAGAAAAGTCTAATCCAAAATAGGGTTTTTTTTATTACTCGTTCAGAACAAGTGAGTGTTTTAGTTTAAAAAAAAGGCAGCACAATAAAGTGTTTAACAGAGAGTGACAATGTTAAGTTTTCAGAAAAATCCACAGGTTTTACGAGACAGTTTTCAAACAGTGATTAAAATGTATGTGTAAAAACCGCTTTGGTTTCGACTAAGTTACGACTTGCTGCTGGATTTTGCTCTGTGACTGTGTTTGTCTGTGGAGAACTGGCACTAAAGGAACACAGATGGGAGCCAGCCACACTCATCTTCATGTTCCCATCATCCTCGCATAATTATCACATATAACCTCGCAGCATTCTCTTCTTTTCCATCTCATTTCTCACATTTAGGGCTATTTTTTGAATGTGCTGTTTTGCTACTACACTGCAGTCTTCCCGCTGTTCTACTTTGTTCGTACAGCAGCTTTTGTGCTGTAATTTAGCAATGCTAGTAGTGATGAATCCATCTTAATACCTCTGTGTCTGTTTATGTCTGCTTGACATGCCTAATGATGATGATGACTGGTGATGTCTGCTCAGTATGAGCAAATAATCCTTACCGTCACCTGACAACATCGTCTACAGCGAGCCAGAAAACAAAGCTCATCTGCGTTTGACAGAGTTACATATTCCAACCAGCAGAGGTCTGTTTACAAAGAAGAAATTATCCTTTACAAGCCACACAGCTGTGTTAGCACTGTCAGAGTCTAATATTGCCATAAATTTTTCAAGTGTACTTCTGTGAAAGAGCTATGAACAATTAGTATCTTACCTGCACTATATAGTTCTTTGAACAATCTCAGTTTGAAGAAATAAAGTTTAATTCTGAACAAATTGATGTGCAAACAGCAAACCAGAAAGTCAAGACCAAAGCGAACTTCGGCTATCTTTAAACACCTCCAGTCTCAAACATTTTAAAGTGGTCATGCAAATACTACTATGTTAGGAACTTTTACAGTATTTGTTTCACATTGTGTGGTTATACTAGCAAAGTATTATATTCTTGCCCTAGACTAGGGTTGGGTGGTATTGATCATTTTAATACAGACATATTATCTTTAGATACTATTGTTGTACTGTATATAGTATTACCAGGGCAGGACAGAAACGGGGCATGAGGGGTGCATGCTCTGTTGAGTTATTTTCTCCAGCTCTTATCGTCTCTGCATCACTGCCAAAATTTATTCAACTGTTGTGTATTTTTATTTTCTTTTATCTGAAGATTTTATTGTATTGTTATTTTTTTTTATTTTATTTTATTTTTTTTTTTGGCATTTGTTAAATAACTTTGGGACTAAATCAGAAAGGAGGTCGAAAGCGGGTGGGGGGTAGGTTTTTTTCAGCTCCAGAGAAGGATGAGTCTGATGACAGCTGTTTTTTTTTTTTCATGAGAATACCGTTTTTCCTGCTGTCTGAGATCAGTTACAGACAGTGGTGGGCAGCGCTAATCTAAAAATTAGCTCCGCAATTTCTAAAGCGCTTATGTAAATATTTAGGTCCGCAACCTCATAAGCGCTTATGCCACAGAAAAACTAGCAGAGGGTAATTTTAAAGCGCAAGTTCAATTTGACACTTACTAGCTGGCAATAATCCATGTACAATATATGCACAACACTGCCAACTAGCGGTGTATGAACTCTTTTACAGCTTATTCCTACAACCGCCGATTGCTGGGGATGTGAATTCCTGAAACAGACCTTTAGCTCCTGGTGTAAAAATTTAAAAGTTGTTGAGGATTGCTAGTTCGGCTGCTTCTTTGTCTTTTTCTTTTGTTTGTTGTAGATTTTTCATTAAAG